TCTTTACTAAATCAAAAAACACGAAAACATTGAATGTTAGAAGAACAGGCACACACCAAAAAAAATGAAAAATAGAGAAAAATAAAATTTACTTATTGTTTAATCTAACTCTGCATATAGTAAACACGAGCAAGTTTTTCCTTTTTTCTTTTTTTTTCTAAATAAATAGTTTCTTACCGACAAATAAAATAATTTATCATGTAAACAATTGCAAAAAATAGTTATCATAGAAATATCATCTATTTCAAAGTAATATAAATAATGTAATTCCAAGGTTTTCACTCCCACACTATCGAATGTATTTTTTTTTGTCCTCCTTTTTGAAAAAATAAAATATTCGTAAACATTTCTTCACGTCTGTCATTTTTATCTTCCATACTCGTTCGAACATCCTATCATTACTAGTATAAAATTAGTATTAAATCATATATACATCAAAACATGGGTCTATATCCACGAGACTGGGTCACCCATTATCATTTAATATGTTTAACTGGTTTTGTTGCTATATCACTAACATTAATTATTGTTGGTGGTTCACTTTCATCTTGGTGTATTCGTTATGGAACTGCATTTGAATGTCATTCATTATTACATTCAGATCGAGTTTTTTCATGTCTTTTTAAATTAATTCCAACAGGAATTATATTCTGTTTAATTATTTCATTATTTATGTTTATTATTTTAATTATTGGTCAAGTATGTATTGAATATACTGGTATTGCTAAAAAAGAATATCAACTTGTTGCTCGACTTGTTAATATTCTTACATTATCAATAGCTATTATTTTAATTATGATTGTACTTCTTCAATGGTTTCATCCACCATTAAACTCATCAAAAAATATTTTAATTGCTATGGTGTCAACACAAGAGGAAACAAATGATACATCAAAACCAAAACAACAACGTATTACTTTTGCAACAATTTCACCAGATGATCCTTCATATTTGAATGCAATGGGTGCACAACGTCGATCAATGCTTACTTATCATAAAAATTTTAATCATGGGCCTAATTTATTCTTTGCAGCATTTATTATTCTTTTTATTACTTTACTTGGTTTTGTCATTGGACATCGAATATAAAATTAGATGAAGAAGAAAAATAGAATTTAAGAAAACAAAAACAAAAAAAAAAAGAAAACATATCTTTCTAATAAATATTGATTTTCTTTTTCATTTATTAAAAACAAAAAGAAATAAAATATTCGTTCAAAATATCTTTGTTGTTATTAATTATTTTTTTTCTTTTTGTTTATAAAAATTGAATTAACGATAAGAAGAAAAAAAATAATAATATCTTCAAAGAAAATTTATTTAATAAACATAATCATTATATCTTCAAACGAACAATTGTAAAAAGATCGATAAAGATCTGAGAATAATTAAATCATCAATGAAATTCATTTATTTATGAAAAATATAATTTCCAGATACAAATAATATTTGGTTGTGGATATGGTTGTCAAAGTTCTATTCAATAGCAGTCACACCCACACTGTTTAACATTTTCAAAATATCATGAAAGTTGTTTTTTCCTCTTTCATTAATTATATATCTTCTAAAATTAAATTATATTTTTCCAATAATTCATTAATCTTCTGATTAAATATTGTCTGTTGTTCATTATAATCAAGATCGAAATCTGCTTCGAATATTTTTGTTTTTTTATAATTTTGCAAAATATCTATTACAAATGAACCATAAACTTGAATATTAATTAAAAGTAATGTTCGTATACATGCGTAAACAATCGAAAATGTTTTAGTTGTATTATTAATAATTAAATTTGATTTAATAATAGAAATAATTCGTTCAGTAAAATATGAAATATAAGAATATTTATTTTCAAAATATGAAATAAGATCACTAGCTTGTTCTCGTACAATCCATATTGTTGAATAACTATTTATAGCATTATGATCTATTGTCGATAAAATATTATCATTTTTTGACATATCAAATATGCATATTAGACAAGTTAATAATGTTGGAATGATTGAATGAAGATATTTATCAAATAAAATAAATTTATTTATTGTAAGCATTTTTAATATTGATAAAAATCGAATAATAAAATTTAAATCATGTAGATGAATATTTGTTTCAATACCTTTGGCAATAAATAGAAGAAGACGAGATAAAAGTGGTTGTAAAGCAGCATCTGATGAGAAACAATGAAAAGCATCTGTAGATTGTTTATCTGTTCCATTAAAACATGATTCAGTTAATAATTTAAAATATAATTGTTGTTCTATGCTTAATTCATGTGCAAGACATGCTTGAGATGATTGTAATGATGGTACGGTGTCATTATTTATATGAGGACGACGTACGGATACATTTCGAGGATGAATTGATTTGATAGTTAAATTGTTTTTTGTTAACGGATGAACATGATCTTGAAGTTTATAATTTCTATAGCATAAAGATTTAGTATGAAAAACTACTATTCAACATGCTTCATTGTTTTCTGAATAACTTTTGATAGGAATATCATAGAGATTTGCACTTTTTACCATTCAAAAAAGAAGACCCGTGGTCATCGAAGTATATCGAAATTTCATTGGTCATCTATTGACCAATCAGAGTAAATTTTGTTGAAGATTTTCGAAAACGATATTCTAAAGCTATTTTCCTTTCAATTTACGCAAGGCCGACATTCCTGGCTTGTTCAGTTCGAGAGTTATAAGAGCCCTCCTGAGATCTTCGACTCCAGTCAATTGACCTTTAATCAATCAAAAAAAGCACCTAGGCAAGGATAATTCAACATGTTGAGTCGAATGATGACATTTGTTCTCAGGTTTGAACTGATTTGACACTATCAAATCAAACTTTTTGAAATGTCGATTTCTTCGTTACACAGAGATTGATTGTAGAATTTCAGAAAGATTGATATAACAATGTCAAATCAGTTCGAATCGAAAAACAAATATCACTATTCGACTCAACACGCTGAATTACTCTCGTCTAGCTGCTTTTTTTGGTTGATCAAAGGTCAATAGGCTGAAATCGGAGGTATCAGGAAAAGTCTTATAACTCTCAAACTGGACAAACTAGAAATGTCGGTCTTGTGTAAATCGGTAGAAAAGAATTTTTACTATTGAATAGTCCTATTAAAAGCTTAAATTGCAAGAAAAATAGCTTCAGAATATCGTTTTCGAAAATCTTCACCAAGAACTCACTTGGTTGATCAATAGATGACCAATCCAATTTCGATATACTTCAATGTCCCCGGATCTTCTCTCTTGAATGATGAAAACCGTAAGTCTCTATAATGTTTCTATCAATAGTTATTCAAAAAACAATGGAACATATTATATTTTAAAATGGATAGTAGTTTACCGTGTTTTAGTTGAACTGGCCATTTCAAAGAGTTTTTTTAGTAGAGGAGATTTATTACTAAGTTCTGGTGGAATTATCTTTGTATCGATGATTTTTTGTTGTTTGTTTTCAAATAAATTTTCTTCAATGAAACTTGGAAGTGGATTTTCAGATATGATCGGTTGTTCTCCATCAATAGCAAGCCAATGAATTGTAAGTTGAAGTCTATCGATTTTCGATGATATTTGATCTGTTTGATTGAGCAATGATAAGACAGAGATATTTGTTTCTTTCGACTTTTTTATATTGTTTGTAAGATTTATATATCGATGAATATTTCGAGTATCAAGTGCAGTTTGAAAATCATTAGCAAGAAGACAAATACGTTTACACACACGTGCATAAGTACGTGTTTCAAGAATAAGACTTCGAACAAGAAATAGAAGTTCGATGTTAAGTTCTTGAATACATTCAGGTAAGAGTGAAATAGATTGATATTGATTCCACCAATCATCAGGCAAGGTTTCTAACCAAGCCATAATAATGATTCATTCTAATTAGATTTCTTTCTTTTTATATTGATGATTGCTAATCATTGTTTTATTATTTCTTCAAGTATGTTGATATGTTAATCAAGAAATGAAGTAAACTATTCTTGATTTAAATCTATTATCTCAACAACATATTAAAGAAGTAGATACAAACAATTAAAAAGTCCTAAACATAGACTTTTCTAGACTTGACGATTATAAAATTTTGATTCATTGAAATATTTTCAATAATTTTTTTTCTTTTGTAATTTTGATTAGAAAAAAAATCATCATAATTTTGTCGGCTTATCAATCAACTCTTACTCACTAGATTCAAGACAAAATACTATACATTGAAAATGAACGAAAATTATCGAAAGCTTATAATAGTTAATAGATATTCAAAATATATGTGCGCATACTTTTCTTTGATTTAATTCGTCATAGCATCAAATGGAAAGCTGTTGTTGTTTCATTTATTTGAAATTCATCAAGAACATGACTGTTAGAAATCGGTACGAGATATAAACGAGTTTCGAATTATATATCAACAATCAAAAAGCACAAGAATATATAATATTAATGATTCATTAGCATCAATAATCATACGCAATAACGAAAGCAATAATTGTCAACATAATTCTGCTAGTTAATTATTTCTGGAAGATGAGTATCGAAATAAACAAAAAAATCAAGATACTTGAATAGATTTTTTTCTATTAACTTATCAACATAAGTAAATCAAAGAAGATCTTTATTTAGTATCATCAAAAATATAAATCTATCAAAAGGCAACTGATTGTGATGATTGTTAGGGTGAATATGTTGGTATTCTGTAGAAGAACTTCGGTATTTTGTGCTCGAATCACTATTGGTGGAAGATTGAGAATAATTGGATTGGTTATTCGGCTAGGCTCAAATGAGGTAGTTGATAGAAACAATAAACAATATAATTTATTTCTAAAACTTTCGTCGTCATCTGTTTGTTCCTTCTTTACTTATAATAGCGTCGTAATAAGTAATCACCATCTATTTGACTACACCTGAATAATCTAACCTTCCTATACAAATAAAAGGTAAGGTATATACTTTTACTCGATATTTATCCTATACATACAAAACGAAAATAGTCGTACAATCATCATGGCTCAAGGACATCTTCATGTAGCTATGATGGAAGCAGCAAAACCTATTGATAAAGATACAGTATACTTTAAGAATCCTTGTCTTGAACTATATACCGACGAAAAAAACAAAACAAAAGTTTCTGTATTTAGAGATGTGCAACGACCTGTATGGAATGAAACATTTGATTTGTACGCAATGACCTTTTTCTTTTTATTTGTTTTTCATTGTTATTGAAATTCTATTTTTCTATGTAGTGATGTATGGCCAAATAATGAAAATCTTCATATAAATGTCCATGAAAATAATGAAGGCAAAAAAGGAGATTTAATTGGTTCGGCACAAATTTCTCTTGATGATGTTATTAAAAACGGTCATTTTGAGAATTGGATTAAATTAACTGGTTTTCCCGGTGATGATAACCAGGGAGATGTACATATACGTATGACTTATGAACAAAAAAATCAGTAAACGAATATTTACTAATGTACTGATCTCTGTTTTTTTGTTTTTTTCACTATAACTTCAAGAAAAACAATAAAGAACAAGCACGATCTTTTCGTTTTTCTTAGTCATCACCACACGGTCCATTATCAACTGGTGAACTACATGCACCACTATCCGATGAGGAAGACGATGAATCTGTATCAACGTAACTGTCATTATCAGCTGTTGATGATATTTGTAAATTGTTCATTCGATTACGTAATGCTACGACTGTATGAAAAGCATATTTTCGATTATGATGATGATGATGAGTACAACTCATTCGACGAATATCAGTATTACTCGAATAACAACAATGTGTTGTTAAACGTGAAGGTCGTTCGTTAGGATGATAATGATATCTTTGACCTTTATGTTGATGAACAGTTGCTGTTGTTGCTGTTGTTGTTGTTGTTGATTTTAATTGTTGAATTGTTTGAATTTTACTATAAATTGAAAGAAACATTTTCTTTAAATCATGATCAGCTCGACGAATTTCAGACTAGAAATAATCAAATAAAAATAATGATTTTGTTTTTTTTTTGTTCTTACTAATTCGTTTTGTATAACATCAAGAATACTTCGTGATGATGAAAGTACTTGTTCTTCTTTGACATTATTTAATGATGGATCACAAAGTTGACTTGTTGATTTTGATAGATATTTTTTAGATGAATCTAATGAAATTGATTTTTCATTTATTTTTGAATCTAATGATGATGAATTAGTTTGTATCATTATAATTGATTTTGATGAGTCATTATCAATTAAATTGGTTGTATTCGTTAAGAATAAGGTTGTTTGTTCAGCCGGTTTTTGTTGAGGAATAATTTGATTGACTAGAGATGGAGTGGATAGAACAGAAATAGATTGAGTTTTTTGTTTAGACAAAACAAATGATGGTAAAGGTAAACTTGGACGAGTACAAGCTGATTCATAAGTATTTAAACGTTCTTGTATAATTGGCGCTGTTATACGTCGACGTTTCGTATATGAACTTGTAGATTCAGATGATGAACATTCAGATGATGAAAAAAAACCTGAAGTAGCACTTGAGAATACATCAGATAACGGTGTTATTGTTGTTGGAATTTCAGATAATATTCTTAAGACACAAGATGATGATGATGATGATGGTGGTGGTAGTGATGATGGAATTTTATCGATTATTTCTATTTCTGATGGATGACGACTATAAAATTTGGCATAAAAAGAACGATCACGTACAGAAGAAGGAAGGTGCATTCTAAAAATAAATAACAAATTGTTGATTACATAAGATCTGTCATCTATCTTTAAGCCAATTATGACGACACTCCTCTAAGAATAACATATATCACTATTGTATGCATACTTTGATTGATGTAATATGTACATGGTCCATTCTTTCTCTTGTTAGTACTGACTCAACATAGTTTACTATTGGGGTGTAAGCTTGTTTTAATATGGAAGAAGTGAAAGAGAAGCTCAACATATGAACGCATGCCTTCAAACTACTACCTGCAGAGATACAGTGAAGAGGGTCACCATCAACTCACTTTTTTTTTAATGAACATTGTAGACTTGAGGGTAAAAAAAAATGAAAAAGTAGAGGGTTGGACGTTATCGTCAAACAAATATGAAATACTCAACTAGAAGAAATCAATAATTGTTTTATACGTGTCGTCATCCAAATAAATATATATATATATATGTGTATATTTGTTAAAATATGCTGGTACATAGAACATATAAGTACCGTACGATTTACAATTATAGGTTGTTGGTAACGATAGTATTGCATACTTGTGCGTCTAGTTAATGGGTCTGTTCTCTGCATGTAGGTGTATATGTGTGTGTGTGCGCATCAAAGAACAGACGTGAAACCATTATTACGGGATCCTTTTACACTAAAAATTGAATAGAAGAAGGAGAGAGCTCGCGTGGCTTCATCTGCCATACAGAAAGAGAGACGACAACGCTCACTCAGTCTTTTTTTTATTGTTGTATGTTTCTTGATGCCTACCCTACCTACCGTACTTGCCTTTAGTAAAGAAAAAAAAGGAAGAGAACGAATATACTTTTCCTTTCTCTTTCTCTCCTTTTTTTTTATGGTAGTCTGATCCAATGAACGATAGCAAGATGATGGTGAACGATGACAAGCTAGACAGAGGCATGCAAAGTGTCGACTGTCACTATCGGTCAACAGACGGACAAACTGGCGAGTTATATCATTTATGGATTAAAATGTCGACAATAACGATAGAATATAAAATAATACATTATTTATCAACAAGTAACGCTTCATATAAAACTTAATATTAATGGTATCTAACCAGTTATATTCGAAAGTATAACAAGGACATTATTGTTAAATAATGACGAGTAACGTAAGAGATCGAGATTATAAAATGAATTTTCTCTTCTTTTACTCTTATATTTACTTAACAAATATTTTCTTTTGTGTTATGCTCATTTCTTTTCTTTCTCTGTGGTTACTCTTATATAAATTGCCATTCATTTTGTTATTTCTTTTATTTTCAACATACAAACACCTATGTACAAAAAAGTCATCATTCAATCAATCGAACGACCATCTTTTATATAGCAAAAAATTTGCCTGACATATTAATGTTCACTCTTACTGATTCTTTATTCACGTTGTCCTTGTCAATTTTCGGAGTTAAATCAATAGCTGACATAATATTATCATAAAATTTTTATTGTACCAATTCTGTCTTTTCGTACATTATAATTAGTTGATGGTAATGTCTCACATGCTATTTATTTAAATCGTAGATGTTCATAAATTTGTTCTGATTTTGAAATAATCTTTTGCATTGCTTATTGTCAGTTAAACTCATTTGTTCATAAAACCAATCAATAAGACATACTGGATCATGTTCTAAATTTGGAGCATCTTGTTTCGAGATTTTTAAAACAAATTTATATTTATTTTTTTGAATAAAACACCAATCTAATACACAAATGTTATTTTCTTTTTATTTATGAACAACTAAACTATAGATAAATGTACATATCAACAGCAAAGAAATTTTCATTTATCCAAATATGCACAAGAAAAAGCTTGACTTAAGATGTAGTTATTGATTATGATTGTTCAAATAACATTGAATCATATCTCAAATAAATTGTGAAACATTATTATTTAAAGCCTAGAATAGAATATGAATTTTTAATATTAACAAATATTTTTATCAACTACCTACTTATATATCTAAGTACACCCTCAATTGATGATTAGGCAACCGTATGTTAAATTTCATAATTAAAATTCTAATTTTTGATACTCTTTAAATTGATTCATTTGACTTACTAATAATCAATAAGAAACCTAATCAAGTACTAAATATAATAGGAAAGGAATGAGGAATAGAAGAAAAAAAAAAGAAGTCATAATATTTTATCGAACCTACGTCAATGGTAATAAAAGCAATATAGTTGTCTAATATAACAGCTTCGATGACACAACGAATAAGCATATAAAAATATCATCAGAATATGTGTTGAATAACTTGAAAATAATTTGCATTAGAATGCGAAAAGAATGATGTATATATTTCGAGAAAAAGAAATTTAATCTAAAAATGAGAACAAAAAAAAAAACAGAAACAAATTTCTTATTCACTTTTTAATCTTGTTGAAATTAGAACATTCTGTTCTTGTAATAATTGTTTATTCAATTTTTGATCTAAACGTTCAAATTTTTTATAATATTCATCATTTTTATCGATATTTTTCTTCAGATCATTTTTATAGTCTTTACAAAATTTTTTCATTTCATCACGAATTATTATTAAATCAGATATTTGTTTTTCTAATTCAATAATACGTTCGTTTTGTTGTTGATTTTCTTCACGTAAACGTTCATTATCTTGTTTAATATTATTTAAAACAGATATGTCAACATTTAAACCAGTTTGTTGACGGAATGTTAATTCTTCAAGATCACGTGTTAGTAGATATTCACTGTTTGAACGAGCAGTTAAAAGAAGTACAGGTTCTTGATGACCATTTAATTTTGTTAATTGATTTACAGTTATTTCACGTATATCACAATGTGGTAAAAGACATATATCAATATCATCAAGTTGAGTTTTCGATAGAAGCATACGATGTAAAGAAAAAAATTCACGTATTAAATCATCAATAGGTAATGTCTAATAAAAACAAAAAGACAAATTTATTGAAAAAAAATATTAATAAATAAGATATACTTTTGAACCATCAACAAGTATTCGAGCAGTTAATGGTTGTTCTGTATAGACAAGACGTATTGGTTTATAACCTTTTTGTAGACAAGCAGTTTCATTTCGGTCAAGTGGCCGAAGCCAAGTTGATCTTCAAGAAGAGAATATTTTGTAGGTTAATTAGAGAAAATAAGAGGTCGCTTACTTACGAGTTCGATGCCATAATAAACAAAGTCAAAATAGAAAATAACACTACAACTAAGAATTAATTAATTCATTATTTGACACTTGATGTGTTCAACTAACTAATAGAAATTAGCTTGTTACCTCTATTGGGAGTATAATTATGAGATATTAAATTTATTAAATTTTTGAACATTATAAAATATTTTAATAGAAATTAACATAAGAAAATGAAAGATATCATCAACGAAAACAGATGGCGCTAAATAATGGTTTTATCGAAAAAAACAGACAGTGATTTAGAGAAGTTATTATACTTATAGATTTTACTGTAGTGGCAAGACTACAGGGGACAATGGATGCGAAAGCTGAGCTTCCTAAAACTCTTCGAGCTCTAAAAATTTTTAAAATGGTTGCTAAAGCTGATCCCACAGAAGGGCTATGAGACTCCATCGCTATTTTGTCGGATATATTGACACGCAACGCTCATCGATAGTCAATTCACTTGGTCCTAGACTGATCGAATAGTGATATGGATATAGTTGTATGTAGACATAAATGTGTATTAGAAAATATAATAGATAAATAAAAATAATAACATAAATCGTATATAATGAGAGGTCCTAAAATTGATGTGTACAGTTGACATGATAAATAAAATCAATTTTTTTGTTACATAAAACTTGTTATTTTGTTGACAAGAAAAGGTTTTTGAATACAATAAACACGTTCAATATATATCAATTTACACTTGGGGTGAAGTTGAGTTTTCCTTAGGGAAATTCCATGAAATATTTTGATTGTACGACTGTTACTATCGTGATGAATTTCGTTTTTGTTGATTCCATTCTTCAAATATTATTTCCAACTTGCAATGATAACTGAATGCAAGAAATTGAATTTTTTTCTCGTATATTTATGTATTTCAAATTAGTACAGTTAGTATGAATGATATGCAGCTATTAATCATATTGTATCCATTTAAAGATCGAATGTTTAAAGTTGGAGAATTTCAAATTACAAACTTAAATTGACAAACAATTATAGTGTTAGATAAGTGATTGAATTATCACAACAAAAATGTATGATTGACTTCATCATTTATGTTTTCGGATGTTCACTTTGGTAATGTTTTAGTATAAATAGATTTTATTGAATACAATCTTATTTATTGATGCATTTTATTACCTAGAAATTTTCGTTAGTAATTTATATTCTTGTTTGTGTGCGATTATTAACCATTTTGTTAATGTACACAGAAAATCTACGTTGATATGAGAGTCTTTTTTTGTATTTGTATCAATTTTGTTATTCGGTGAAGAAAAATATACTGCATGGAAAAACCATCAACATTTGCGTTAGATATTCTGAATTATTATGTACTCGAACATTCTGTTACAAAAGCTATTGGTATTTTGCATCGTAATATTGCGTTCACATCGCCATTATCCTCGAAGATATTCCCAAAAAGACTTGGCAGTATATCAAATACTAATATGCCACTGTCGGACATTGATAATATGAGTAAACAAACAACACATGGATTTTTACGAAATATTTTCAAACCTATGAAAATAATAATATTGAGAATATTACCAGTCATGTCAAAAATGAAAATAAATAATCCGGCAGAGATAGTAAAGTAACCAATGACTAAATCCAATGTAGTAATGGAGTCTAGTGTAGATGACATTTTTCTATGTTTAATATGAAACAATCTTATACGTGTATCTCTGTTAAAAGCCACTCCGACCCTCTCTTCAAAAAGTGATCTTAGCCTAGATGCATTCGAATCGCATGAAACTTTCAGGATATGTTGGAGCTATGCTAAAATTTTCAGTCCTATATCTTGATGTTCGAGAGAGACATTCAACAAATAACGGTCAAAAATAGCTCATTTAGCAATCTAAAACTCTCTATGGGCCTTCATTCTATAGACTTAATTTTTTTCTGTCGGAAAGAGCATGTCAGGATGCTGAGTACGACAGAGCCTTTCTTTTTAGTCTCACTCTTTAAATGAAAAAAAAAGGGAAGAAAAGTTCAACATCTCGAGAAACTCTGAAAAAAAGGGTATGGGTGTGGATCTTCTTCTCATGCACACCCACACATACACCCTAACCAACTGACTTGATAGTAGTGTCCTGCGGGAACGACTTTTTTCCCTGATTTTCTCATTCTCATTCCCATGGGAATGGGAATTCCCATTTAGACTCAGGGAATGGGAACACGGGAATGGGAACAGAATTAAAAATTGACGTTCCCAAAATTCTTTCTATCTTATTTCAATACACATAAAAATATTTCTATCTGATAACTGTTTATTTTCAATAACTTTTCTTATTCATATACAATTAACACGAAGTATATATAGGAGAAGTCGAAGAGCGTCTCCGTCTGTTTAGACAATGGACAATAACACGTCAGTTAAGAAAAGAAGGTCAGACGAACAAGAAGGCATTGGTTAAGCAGGTGTTCATTCGTATATGCACTACACATTCAAGGTGATGTTCCTTTTCATTAAAAACGTGTTCCATCGTCTAATAAGAAAATGTATAGTCAACATAGTGTTCATCATATAGAGAGAATATTCCTCTTACGGCAAAGTGTTTCCCTCCCTTCCCCCACATAGAAAATAAAAAAAAATTATAAATAAATATTAAGGTTATCTACAACAAAAAACAAATGATTTATCAATAAATAATCTCAATATTTGTCTATAATTTTTTTAATTTTCTATTTGGGTGAGGGGAGGGGAACACTTTACTATAAGAGGAACATTCTCTCTATATGATGAACACTATGTTGGACTATAAATTTTCTAATTAGACGGTGGAACACTTTTTTAATGAAAACGGACACCAGCTTGAATGTATATGTATAGTGCATATACTCAAGAACACCTGCTTAACCAATGCCAACAAGAACAACAAAACAGAAAAAGAAAAGAAGTGAAGCACTATGTAACAGCGTCGCGATGCGCAAAACGTGATGTCGCGAGAAACTGGTATACATATATGTCAATGACACTTTCGCATAGATGAACAGAGCCTTAGAAAACCTTATGGGAATTATGGGAATGGGAACGTGGGAATGGGAACAAAAATTTTTTTTTAGGGAATGGGAAAAAGGGAATGGGAACAAAAATTTTTTTTTAGGGAATGGGAA